CTGCGCCACCAATCAATTAATTGAGGTCAAATAATTGCAATTAATTTCCACCCCAATAAACTTTTCGGTAGGCCTGCGGTAAAATAACCTGGTATTTATACTAAAATTTATTATACCGTATAATTTCCAACCCTAAACACATCCGTTCCTGATATAATAATTACTGATCAACCGCACAACTAATTTAGTTATTTATACCAATATAAACTCGAATCTATTTTTAAAAAAAATTAATTTAACTTTTTTTATATTAAAATTTAATATTATGCACTAAATACATAAATATCAATAGTGTTGAGTATTTGGGTACCTTATAACTGAACTACAGTATTCTAACTTCTATTAGTTTCGCAAACGCCTAGTGTAGTTGCCATAAAAATTTCAAATATTTAATTATAATACTGCAATGTCAGACAAGCTATTATCTGGAGGTGCCAGGTATTTCAATAATTTCATGAATTTTAGAGGAACCAGATACTCTAATAATGTTTTCACGATGGCGTATTCTTTTATAAAGTAAAAATCCAATAACTGCAAAACAAACTAAACCAAAAATTCCAACACAGAGACCAATAATTAAATTAATGTTTAATGAATTAGAGACATCTAAATTGGAGCTCTTAGAAGTTTGATTAAAAGAAGTTTGATTATAATCTGATGTATTATAAGTCGTAATCCATGTATAATTTCGTGTATCAAGAATATAAACTTGACGATTAAGTGAAGTTTTTCTCGAACAACCTAAGTAAATAAATAACAATTATAATTAATAAATTTTTATTGTTAACTAAAATTTGGAATTTATTATAATTACCAAATGCAATAAACATATAATTTCCGTAAAGTGCTGCAGAGTGACCAAAAAGCCACTTTGCATTACTAGGATTCGAAACATTTGGAATTGACCATATAAATGGAGAAACACTTGTATTCAGAACTAAAAGAAGTTCAGATGGTTGCGAAGCGGACTCATCATCCAGACCAATTCCACCACCAAATATTATAACCCGACCATCCTGAGCTAATAAATGACATAAATATTGTAAAAGTAAAAGAAAAACAAAACATACAATAAATTAAAAATATTTACTTAAAACTGCCGAATGATGAAAACGAGGTTCGACTATACTACTACCAGAAGCATTCTAATAAAAAAGATATTAATTTATAAGAAATTCATGCTGTATTATTATAAATTAAATACATACTGTAATAGACCACGTTAAAGATGTCGTATTGAATGTCGGGATCTATATTTTATTCTATTAATATAAGATGATACAATGGTTTAATAATTGATAATTATAAATTT